AGTTGTATGGAAAAGCCACTGGAAATGGCTTGGATAAGCCTACAAGTAGGGAGGGGCGGAGTCTCAGGGAATCACCAAGGTCGGGGGGAAAAGTGTGAGCCAGGTTGATAGAGATTAAGATATGGCATAGCCTGTCAGCTCTGTGGCAGGGAGGGCTCAGCAAAGGAACACTGGCCTCTGCCTGCACTTCTGTCTGGGAATAAGCTTCCTGTCCAGCTCTTGCCCTGATTCCAGACAAATTAGTTCTTCCCTGAATGTCCCAGGTTCCTTTCAAGCTATTGCCCCAGCACTGGAGCTCAGAGGGAGTGAGTCAAAGTAAGCCCATGTCAGGGCCCTTTAAGAGGAACTGCCTGGGACTCCTGTAGTCTTCATATCACTCAGCCACAATCCCCACTGGTTTTTACAGCCAGAAATTGTAGGGAATTCTTTTCCCAGCACTAGAACTCTGGGCTTGGGGCCTGGTATGGCACAGGACCCCTTGTTCCTCAGGGAAACCTCCAAAACCAAGATATCCCTCCTGATTTTCAACCACCACACGTGGGTGTGGGACTAGCTCATTCCATAATTCCACCCTGAGCCTCTGCCCCTCCTACTAGTCTTGATGTGCTTCTTTAATTCCCTAGTTGTAGGACTTCCGTTCAGCTAGATTTCAGGTGATTCTGAATAATGGTTGTTGTGTATTTTAGTTGTATATTTTGATGTGGTTGTGGGAGGCGGCGAGTGCCACATTTACCTACACCGCCATCTTGCTACTTCCTGAGCAGTAATATTTTGAAAGGAGTCTTTTCTTTTGAGTAGTAGGTCTCAACAGTGAACTTAAAATATTCAGTCAACTATGTTGTAAACAGATGTGCTGTCATACAGGCTTTGTTGTTGTGTTTATAGAGCACAGACAGAGTAGATTTAGTATAATCCTTAAGGGCCCTAGGATTTTTGGCATGGGAAATGAGCACTGGATTCAACTTAAAATCACCAGCTGCATTAGCCCCTAACAAGAGAGTCAGCCTGTTCTTTGAAGCCAGGCATTGACTTCCCTTAAATTATGAATGTCCTAGATGGCATTTATTCCAATATAAGGCTTCTTGGTCTATATTGAAATATGTTGTTTATTGTAGCCACCTTCATTAATCATCTGAGCTAGATCTTCTGGATAACTTGCCACATCTACATCAGTACTGGCTGCTTCACCTTGCACTTCTATGTTTTGGAGATGCCTTCTTCCCTTAAGCCTCATGAACCAACTTTTATAGCTTCCAACTTACTTCTGCAGCTTCTTCACTTCTCTCAGCCGTCATAGAATTGAAGAAAGTTGAATCCTCGCTCTGGATTAGACTTTGGCTTTAGGGAATGTTGTGGCTAGTTTGCTTTTCTCTCCAGACTACCAAGACTTTCAATACATTGTTCTGTTTTCTTATCATTGATGTGTCCACTCGAGTAGCACTTTTCATTTTCTTCAAGAACTTTTCCTTTGCATTTACAGCTTGGTTAACTGTTTGGCACAAGAGGCCAAGCTTTCATCCTATGTTGGCTTTCAACAAGCCTTCGTCATTCAGTTAATTATTTTTAGCCTTTGATTTAAAGTTAGAGATGCGTCATTCTTCTTGCACTTGAATACTTATACACCATTGTAGGCCTAATAATTGGCCTAATTTCAATATTGTTGTGTCTCGGGGAGTAGGGAGGTGCAAGGAGAGGAAGAGAGATGGGAAAATACTGATCCATGGAGCAGTCAGAATACACACATTTATTGTTTAAGTTTGCTGTCTTATAGGGGCAAGATGCATGGTGTCCCAAAACAATTACAATAGTAATATCAAAAGTCACTGATCACAGATCACTATATCAAATACAATAATGATGAAAACACTTGAATTTGCAAGAAGTACCATAATGTGGCACAGAGACACAAAATGAGCAAAAGGTGTTGGAAAAATGGCACCAATAGACCTGACCATGCAATATTGCTACAAACCTAAAATAAATAAATAAATAAATAAATAAATAAATAAAAGCAACATAAAATGAATATTTCTGTGCTACTAGCCACCTTCTTTTCACCCAGGTGGGTAATTCTGAGGTCACCCATTTTACAGACATTTATTGAGTAGTAGAGGCCCGGTGCACGAATTCGTGTACATTGAAAGGAAATAAATTAGAAGAAATATTTTTATATCACTATTTGCCCTTTCTCTATAGAAGTGTCAACCAAATTCACGATAATAATGACAGATGGAAACACACGTGTGCGATTGGCGCCAGCGAGAACTTTATATCTATAATAATAAAAGCGTAATATGCAGAACAACCATCTGGACGACCTTCTGGATGACCATGCTGTGACATGCCCTGGTGCCAGGCCAGCCAAGGCAGGTGCGATGTGATTGGTCAGGAGGCCCCGCCATCACCCCACGATCGCTCTGCAGAGGGAGGCCCAGGCTACCTGGCTGTGGCACTGTGGTGGGTGGGTGGGTCGTCCCTCTGCGGGGCAATCGATCAGGGGGGCCCCGCGATTGATTGCTCCACAGAGGGAGGCCCAGGCCACTGGTAAGCGATGCTGTGGCAGTTGTGCGGGGCTGGCCAGTGATCGTCCCACAGAGGGAGGCCCAGCCAGCCAAGAGATCGCACCCCACGCCTATCACCTGCAGAGGGAGGAGACCGGTGGCGGGGGAGTGGTGGGCAGCGCTGCACAGATGGCAAGCAGTGGCAGTGGCGGGGGCATGGCCAGCTGTTGGCAGCTGGAGGAAGGAAAGCTCCATAGGCCCTGATCGCTGGCCAGGCTTAGGGACCCTACTTGAGGGGTCCTGGATTGTAAGAGGGTGCAGGCCCGTCTGAGGGACATTCCCCCCATGCACAAATTTCATGCACCGGGCCTCTAGTATATAGATAAACTTGCTTAATTAGACCTGCTTTCTGATTTAGCTACATTTTTTCCAGCCCAGTGAAGCACCCCAACTTCTCTTTCAGGTAATTGTCAGCAACACAGCAGTAAACATCAACACGAAGCACATTATAATTGTAGATCATGCAGGAAGAACAAATGGTAAAATATTTAACTGCAGCAGTGTTTGACTATATTCTGTGCAGTGAGAAAATCTGAAGTCATTTTCAAGGAAGTGCATTCCTGGAGGAGGAAGGGCATGCGCAAAGGCACTATAGTTCAGGGATTGAGGAAAAGGCTAGTGAGAAAGAATAATGAGAAGTAAGAAGGGAGACAACATGCAGGCCTCTTTGCAAATGGTAGAAACTCAATCCAGACTGGCTTCAGAGGATGGAGGGCTCCCATAATTGAAAAGTCCAGGGGCCTACTGATCTCAGATTCAGCTTAAACTTAACAGGGCCCATTTCTATCCCTGGCTCTCTTGTCCCTTCTCAGCATCTCTCCAGGGCCCTCCTCCAGGTATCCGGACAGCAGACACAGGAGAGCGAGCCCCAGGCAGGAGATTGTGTAGCTCACGCTTCATTGGCTCAGCGGACTATCCTTAGAGCAAATCATCCAGTTAAGAGGGATGAGCTCCCCTGGTTGGTCAGTCAGTTACATGCCCACATGTGGTGGGAAGCATGGCGCCAAGGCTGTAAAAGCTGGGTGGCCTCCTGGGTATGGGGTTAGATCAGAGTGCACAGGAAGTGAAGTGAACTCAATAAATGTCCACTGAGAGAGGATTCAGTTTTGTCAAGCGAATTTATCAGTGGGCTTGTGGGCCTTGCTCTTTGCAATGCTGTGTTTCTATAAAGTTGTCTGGCAAAAGAAATGTCTCAAAGGAATCCATTTCATGATGTATCACTTAATTTATTTTTATATTTTATTGATTTTTTACAGAGAGGAAGGGAGAGGGATAGAGAGTTAGAAACATCGATGAGAGAGAAACATAGATCAGCTGCCTCCTGCACACTCCCCACTGGGCATGTACCCGCAACCAATGTACATGCCCTTGACCGGAATCGAACCTGGGACCTTTGAGTCTGCAGGTCGACGCTCTATCCACTGAGCCAAACCAGTCAGGGCTATCACTTAATTTTATAATTCAGAAATTGAGATGCTTGTATTTCCCCATTGTAAAATAAGAAGTTGGAGTGTGAGGACTGGCTGCTTCTAGCTAGCTGGAAGCCACCGATGAGTTATTTTATGCCCCTGATGAAAAGTTCAAAACAGAATTGGAAATGCTGTGCGGTATAGGGGTTAGCTTAGTGCAGAAGTCGTGTAGGCAACCTGGATTGAAATTCTTGTCCACTTTGTCACTGGGCAAGTTATTTAACATTGGTGTCTTAACCATTAAAACGGAGATAATATCTACCTCACATTCTTATTATGGTGAATAGATGGTTAGCACTTAAGAGGACCTGGCCTGACACATCGTGCTACATATGTGCTTGCTATGATTATGTTATAAATATAATAAAGGATAAACAGACTTAAATTATAAAGAATTCTGTCAATGGATACCAAAATACAATTCCTTTATAATAAAAGACGGGCAACAAGGCAAACAATACTAACAGCGTTTACTGTATGCCAGGAACTGCTAAAAGCTCTGCAGACGTTCTCTCACTTAATCCTCACAACCCTATGCGATGGGTGGTACTATCACCTCCATTTTTCAGATGAGGAAAGGGAGGCTCACGGAGGGGAAGTGACTTTGCTCAAGGCCAGTAAAGACTTGAACCCAGACATTTGTCTTTCCAAACATCACACTCAAATTCCTTGAAACCCGCCTCTCGCTTTCACAACCGCTCGGGGTCTGCAGCCTGCCGAGGGCCCAAAGCCGCAGCCCCCGGCTCCCCAGCCCCCCAGCCCCCCAGCTCGCCTGCAGGCCTGGCCCCACTCTTGGAGCCCGGCCTCTCTTGGTAGGCTCCGCCCACAGGCCTCAGCCAGGTGCCCCCGCAGACTCCGGGCCACGCCCCCTGCGCCCGTGGCCCCGCCCACAGGCCTCAGCCAGGTGCCCCCGCAGACTCCGGGCCACGCCCCCTGCGCCCTAGGCCCCGCCCACAGGCATCGCCGTCGGCGCGGACGCCGTCCTTGCGCGTGCAGTCGCCATTTTGCTCATAGAGACGTCGCCTGGAGACAGTCCTTTCTTCCTTCGGCAGCCGAGGCTGCGGCTAGGCCGGGGCTGGGGTCAGGGCCAGGTAGGCGGGGCGGGGGCCTGCGACGCGTGGCGGCGCGGGCTTGCGGGGCGCAGGTGCAGGGGCGGCAGCTCGGGCGGGCGCCCCGGGGAGAGCCCGGCCTCCTCTAGTCTCTGGCCCGCGGGCCCGGGTGCGGCGCGCGGCCGGGGGCTCCTCTCCGGCGCCGGTGGGAGTTGAGCCCTCATCATGGGACCTGCGGCTCGGCAGCTCGGAAAACCACCGAGACCCAGCGTTCGCCAGCCCCCAGCCTGACGGAGCCCTAGTTAAATCCGTGCCCGCGGAGATGGCTTTCCACACCCCCTAACGGCGTGCGTTCCGCGCACTCGCGCCCGGGGCGCCGCGAGACCCGGGGGGCGGTTTAATCAGTTCTGCTTTAAGCCTTCCTCCCCCCAGAGGCGACACCCAGGATGGAGGCTGTCCTGACGTTTGCGCAGATTGCGTGTTTAGCTTTTGTAAGGAATGAGATGCGGAATGGGAATTTGGGGTGTGAGGAAGTGTGATTTATAATGTTTAAAAACTACGTGCACATAAAAATAATTCACCCACATTATAAACCCCACTAAATTATACTCTTGTCTTCTGCCCCGGATTATACATTATTACACAGTTTTGATTAGAGGAGATGCAATTCTGCTCTTATTCTCTTAACGTTTCTTTTGCATGGAACCGGATATGTATTTATTTATTGGTTAACCCTCACTTGAAGATATTTTTTCCGCATTGATTTTTTTAGAGTGGAAGGGAGGGAGGAGGAGGGAGAGAGAAAATCAGTGATGAGAGGATCATCATTGGCTGCCTCCTGCACGCCCCCGGCCACCCGGGGCATGTCCTCCGCCAGAATCCAACCTTGACCTCCTGGGTCATGGGTCCGCGCTCAGCCACTAAGCCACACGGCAGAGCTGCAGAGTTCCAGATTTAAAAAAAAAGAAAAAAAAAAAAAAGGGCTCTAGCCAGTTGGTTCAAGGTTATAGCGTCGGTCGCAGGGGCTTCTGGTCCAGGGTACTACCTTCGCGGCAGGCTCCATCCCCGGTCCCATTTGGGGCACTTGCGGGAGGCAACCAATCTATGTGTTTCTCTCTGTCTCTCCTCCCACTTTTCTCTGAAAATGAGTGGAAACAATATATACTCCCCCAAGGATTAATAACAAAATATTGATTGTGTAGTTTTACTCAATTACCCTGTAATGGAACTTTTCCGTATGTCCAATGTTCCTTCTCCAAAAATCTTGCAGTGACCATTTTGAGCATATAGCTTTTTCTTTCTGTCCTTGGCAATTATGTGGTTTCTTAGGCACTTGAGATAAATTGTTTTCCAAACAAGGAATATTTACGTAGACATTTTTCAAAATCTGGGTGTTTGTCCGATTCCCCAGCTGTAATGCACAGTTGGGCGGGTGTCCAGCCACGTATGTGGGTTGGGAAATGGGCTGTGCAGCCGCTGTTCCATAGACAACTGTCTGCTCTCAGTCAGACTGAAGGGGGTATGGCTGCTGCCTAGAGGCCACTCAGCCTCCAGGAAGTGCTCCTCTCCGAGCTTCACTCCCCATGTTTATTTATTTATTTATTTTTTAAAAAATATATTTTATTGATTTTTTACAGAGAGGAAGGGAGAGAGATAGAGAGTTAGAAACATCGATGAGAGAGAAACATCGATCAGCTGCCTCCTGCACATCTCCTACTGGGGACATGCCCGCAACCCAGGTACATGCCCTTGACCGGAATCGAATCTGGGACCTTTCAGTCCGCAGGCCTACGCTCTATCCACTGAGCCAAACCGGTTTCGGCACTCCCCATGTTTAAATGGGTCTGCTTCCAGGACCTGCTGTAGCGAGCTGAAAGAAAACGGTTCTGCCGGGGACAAGAGCAAAGTGCCTGAGATCACAGGGATGATTATTTAATTTAGGTTTTACAGTTCTAATGTTCTTTAATACTGATAACAAAAAAGGCACATTTTATTTGAGATATGCCACTAATAAAAATAATTCTTTATACTTTATGATGCCTTTTCATTTGCAAACTACTTTTATTTTCATCTGTTAATCATTGCAACTCTGAGGTCAGGCCTTATTCAACAGACATTTGTTATTTAACAACTAGAGGCCCTGAGCACTAGAGGCCTGGCTGGCGAGGGAAGCGCGAGTGTCTGGCGTGGAAGGGCAGATCCCAGCTGACCTCTGGGCCCTGGGCAGCACCTGGGACCCAGCGCACCCCACTCTGCCTGAGTCATCAGGCCCCTGCCCAGCTCCCTCAGTGCCTGGGAGCTGGGCAGAGGCCTTACCCCCTCCCCCCCCACCCCCTGCCACTGCCTCCAGGTGATCGGCTGGGCGATTGGGCCTACTCACACCTGCCTTGGCCTGGCACTGCCCGCTCACCTGCTCCACCATCCTGCCACAGTCCGGCTCTAGTCAGGGCCCATTAGGTCGGCAGCGCCTCCGCTATGTCCTGCTGCCAGCACCACGTCACGGACTCCCTCTATGTTTGGTGCTGCCCCCTGGTGATCAGCGCACATAGGGAGCAGTGGAACTCCCAGTGGAGGGTACAATTTGCATATTAGGTTTTTATTATATAGACTCATTTGTTGAACCATGTGCCAGGTGCTGTTCTAGGGATATACAGAAGAGAATAAAGAGAATAAAGAGAATAAAATAGTAAAAAAAAAAAAAAATCTACTGTTTTGGACATTAAATTCTGGTGGGGGAAGCTGTTTTCACCAAGTGTCTATCTCTTGTCAGGAAGGGAAACGCTGAGACCTATGAGGCCAAGTATAATTAGTTACCCTGGAAGGCAAATCAAGTCTTCACATTCCTCCTCTAGCCGTCTTTAGCTAGAAGGCATTTACACAGTGGGTGCTGAGAGGGAAAGCAGCACTTTAATGTGAGCCTTCCTCGTCTGAAATATGGGTGAGTGGTTTTGAAATTGTTACGACCGAAGCAAGTAGTTTTTCAGTGTGGTTTCATTCATGAGACTTAACAGATGGTCAGATTTTATTCAAAGAGGAATATGATTTGCTTTTTGAAAGATGCTGAGATTCTCTGAAAAGGGTGTGTTTTCATATGTGTTATAAATCTCACATTCTAAAGTAGATTTAGGAAAATGTAAAAGCGACTATAGTTTATTGGGGAGAAAAATGGGAGTGTTCTCTTTTGTGTGTGTGTATACCGTATGTGATTCTTTTTTAAAAATTTATTTTTCAATTACTGTAGACATAATCTGGTGTTACTTTAAGGTGTATACCATAGTGATTAGACATTTATGTACCTTACGGAGTGATCACCCCAGTAAGCCTGGTTCCCACTTGGCACCATACGTAGTTTTCCCAATATTATTGACTATATTCCCTAAGCTGTACTTTATCCCTGTAACTGTTTTAATAATTGGCAATTTGTACATCTTAATCCCTTTCACCTTTTTCACACCCCCTTCCCCAAACCTCTTCCTCTCTGGTGACCAACAGTTTGTTCTCTATATCTATGAGTTTGTTTTTGTTTATTTTGCTTTTTAGATTCCATATATAAGTGAAATCATCCAGTGTTTGTCTTTCCCTTGGACTTTTTTAATTTTTGGTGGAACCTCCATACTCTTTTCTCTAGTCTGCACCAATTTACAATCCCACCAACGGTGCACAAAGGTCCCCTTTTCTCCACATCCTTGCCAACACTGTTGTTTATTGATTTATTCTTTTTAATTTAAATTTATTGTTTAAAGTTTTACATAAGTCTCTTTTCCCCCTCATTGTACTTTTCCCGACCACTCCCACCCCCCAGCACACGCCCTCACCCCCCTACTGTTTGTCCATTGGTTATGCTTATATGCATATAAACAAGTCCTTTGATTGATCTCTTTCACACCCCCCACCCCCCACCCCGTTTCTTCCCTCTGAGGTTGGATGGTCTGTTTGATGCTTCTCTGTCTCTGGATCTGTTTTTGTTCATCAGTTTATATTGTTCATTATATTCCACAAATGAGTGAGTTCATGTGATATTTATCTTTCTCCAGCTTGCTTATTTCGCTTAGAATAATGCTCTCTAGGTCCATCCATGCTGTTGCAAATGGAAAGAATTCTTTCTTTTTTATAGCAGCATAGTATTCCATTGTGTAGATGTACCACAGTTTTCTAAGCCACTCATCTGCTGATGGGCACTTAGGCTGTTTCCAAATCTTAGCTATTATAAATGGTGCTGCTGTGAACATAGGGGTACATATATCCTTTCTTCGGATATATTCCTAGAAGTGGGATTATTGGGTCAAATGGGAGTTTCATTTTTAATTTTTTGAGGAAACTCCATACTGTTTTCCACACTGGCTGCACCAGACTGCATTCCCACCAGCAGTGCAGGAGTGTTCCTTTTTCCTCACTCCTTGCCAGCACTTGTCGTTTATTGATTTCCTTTTTCCTCACTCCTTGCCAGCACTTGTCGTTTATTGATTTGTTGATGATAGCCATTCTGACAGGTGTGAGATGGTACCTCATTGTTGTTTTGATTTGCATTTCTCGGATGATTAGTGACTTTGAGCATGTTTTCATATGTCTCTTGGCCTTCTGTAGGTCCTCTTTTGAAAAGTGTCTATTTAGATCCTTTGCCCATTTTCTGATTGGATTGTTTATCTTCCTTTTGTTAAGTTGTATGAATTCTCTGTAAATTTTGGAGATTAAACCCTTATTGGAGATAACATTGGCAAACATGTTCTCCCATGCAGTGGGCTTTCGTGTTGTTTCGTTGATGGTTTCTTTTGCTTTGCTGAAGCTTCTTATTGTGAGGTAGTCCCATTTGTTTATTTTCGCCTTAGTTTCCATTGTCCTAGGAGCTATATCGGTAATGATAATTGCTATGGCCCTACCAGCGGTTCTCAACCTGTGGGTCGCGACCAGCGGAAAACACATATAGCGTATCAGATATTTACATTACGATTCATAGCAGTAGCAAGATTACAGTTATGAAGTAGCAACGAAAATAATTTTATGGTTGGGGGGTCACCACAACATGAGGAACTTGTATTAAAGGG